CAAAATTGAAATTTATTAGATAATTATTAATTAAAAAATGTGACTACAAATTAAAAAATAAAAAAGAATAAATATGTCAATAAAATTAAAAAATTTTAATCCGCTAGCAGTTTAATATAGAAAGCTACATAAACTGATTTTTTCAATCTGCTAGCATTTTGAATCCTAACCGTTATCCACTAGTTTCAAATCGCTAAATAAAAATTTTACCAAATACTTTATTTGTAGTAATTTTAAAATATATAAATTTATCAAATATCTATATTTAATGGTTTAGATAAAATCACTAATCACTATCCTAAAATCGTTTTACCAAACGGCCTTAACGAGGGTAAATGAAGAATTTTCTCTCCATATATAAATGAAGGACCCAGGAAGTCAAGCTAACACATTCCAATTTCCAAGCTTTCCCTCTGCGATGGATTCCTCAGTTGCTCCAGTCATGACGATTGACACTAATCAGAAGAGCCTCCCGGCCGGAGAAAAAAGGCCCTCCAAAGGTGGCTGGAATGCCGCTATTTTCGTCATCTGTAAGATATATAATCTCATGATCTCCCCATTTTAATTACAGTGTATCTGTCTAGTCTCTCTACTTAATTAATTTAAAGAAAAAATGGACCTGCTTCCAAAAACTTTAAATCAAAATTTTTATTTGCATGCGCATGAAGTCGTTGAGATGGCAGAGCGGTTTGCCTTCTATGGACTGGCTGGAAATCTCATCACATACCTCACCAACAATCTCGGCGAGCCCACTACCACGGCAGCCGAGAGTGTCAACACATGGGTTGGTGTCTCTTCCATTTTCCCTATACTCGGTGCCATCATCGCCGATTCATTTTTGGGTCGATTTAACACCATCCTCTTATCATCTATCATCTATTTCCTGGTGAGTTGAGCTGGGTTCTCCTCGTGCCGGCAAAAATAATTAATGTTTCGGTCCCTTGATCGAGGTGGGATATGTAATTTAATTTGTTTGTTATCAAATATTGTCAGGGGATGGTTCTGTTGAGTTTATCTGTGTCAGTGGTTCCTACGGAACACCGGAGAGTCGTGTTTTACACCGCACTGTATATACTAGCAGTGGGGGAAGGCGGTCACAAGCCTTGCGTGCAAACGTTTGCGGCGGATCAGTTCGACGAGGACAATCCGGATGAGAAAGCGGCCAAGAGTTCATTTTTCAATTGGTGGTATTTAGCGATAGTGTTCGGCGCCTCCACAGCAATTCTAGTCGTAATTTATTTACAGGTAAAGAAATTTTTGTTGGTTCTAAAAAAAGTAAAAATTCTATCTTTAGATGTTTAAAATTCGATTTATTATTATTATTATTTTCACACAGGATCATGTTAGTTGGACGGTGGGGTTCGGAGTGCTAGCAGGGGTGTTGGCAGTGTCATTGGCATTGTTCCTGATGGGTATTAAGAGGTACCGAAAACAGAGTCCGACGGGAAGCCCATTTACCAGGATGTTTCAGGTTTTCGTCGCCGCCGCAAGGAAGTGGCGCGTGAGTGAGATTCACGGTGGCCGGATATGTTATGAAGACCACGATGGTAGAAGCCAATTTCCGGGTCAAACAGGGGGCCGCAATTTGGTTCGTACCAATCAACTCAGGTACGTGGTGAAGGGCTGGATGCCCTCCGGCCAATTATGTATAATTTCTTAAGATTTCATAATCTTTCTTTAAAGGTTAAACTCAA